ACTCCGTATCGAGTTTGTATGGAATGATCAAACAAGACAAAGTCCCTTTGCCCCAGTGGCCGCTTTACATTGCCGGGAAGCTTGGCGTTCAATAATTTTTTCTTTAGTTCAATTTAATTAAAGTTTAATTAAAAGAGTCAATTAAGCAGTTTTGATGAATTCCTCAACAAACGAGGTGAGCGCTTTAAGAGCGGTAGCAGACGGTTGGTCCGAGAATGGGTTTGTACCAGTTTCGCCGGACATACACACCTTTGGCTCGATTGGGATAGTTCCGATGAACTTAAAGTTGTACTTCTCAGCTAGGGTTTTGCCGCCTTGTGAAGAAAAGATGTTTGTTGTTGTTTGGCAATGTGGGCAAAGGTACCCACTCATGTTTTCTATAACGCCAAGCACCTCGACGTCAGACATCTTGCAAAAGTCGATTTCTTTTTCGACGTCGTTGACAGAGACAATTTGCGGAGTTGTTACTAAGACTGCTTGTGTCTTCTTGTTGCTTTCTTTAATCAATTGCATAATCGTCATGTGCTCATCAGAAGTTCCTGGCGGTGTGTCGATGATTAAAACATCTTTTTCGCCCCATTCGACATCTTGTAAGAATTGTTGGATCGCTCCACTCTTCTTTGGACCTCTCCAAATGACGGGTGCGTCGGGGTTCGACAACATAAATCCTATAGACAACACATCTAAATTGTGACCACTCACATCTACTTTTACTGGTGCTATCCCACCATGCGTCCCATTGAACACACCAGAGCCGGAAACACCAAACATCTTTGGAATGGACGGGCCGCAAAGGTCGATGTCCAATATACCCGTCTTCATCCCAGCCTGAGCAAAGGCGCGTGCCAACGAAGATGCTACAGTTGACTTTCCGACACCCCCCTTGCCTGATAAAACTAAGATGATATTTTTGATGTGACTGACTCCACAATAAGCAGTGTCGGGCTTAAATTCAGTCATTTTATATTTTGCAGATTACGGTCTCTTTTATAATCCTAACTCAATTCAAAAACTTCAATATAACTCGAATGGTGATTTGCAGGAGTATCTCCCAAAATTGTATTCTAGCTTCAAAATACTATAAATGGTAATTATTTTATTATATTGAAATGGTATTTAGTGGTGAAATGGTAATTTGTGAAAACAAATTTTGTTATGTGGAGAATTAAAAAACCTTTTCTTTTTCACAAAAAAAAGAAGACCAACTTTTGGAGAATTCAATTGACTTGTCTAGAAGAATTATTCAAGTCACTTTATATGTTCTGAAAGTATTTGATAGATAATTTGGAGTGTTAAATAACTCGAAAGAAAAAAATCATTTCTTACAAAACGAGAGAGAGTTTCGACCTGATATAGTAAGTGATCGGGTTGAAGACACACGAGATGATATTACAGACAACAACTATTGTGGCCAACAACATCATTAAAGTCCATTTGTCCATAAAAGGATATGGACGTATACCATAATCAAAGTAATCTTTCAGACAAAGACCACAATACCCAAAGAAAGCAACGACTGGCGAGAATTTTGAGATGGAGTAAAACTGGTCGATGTGTTTAGACCCTTGTGCAAAAAGCAAACAGTCGATGAGCAAGAAGAGGAACGGGAAAGTGTGTTCAAAGTGTGTCACAAAGAGTTGGTCGACAAATGTCGGTTGCCACTCTCCATCAATTCGCAAGACGTTACTTGGTGACTTGAAGAATAGCACCCAGAACATCAACGTGACACACAAGCACAACACAAATGCCAATTGATTCAAAACATCGACTAGGAAGTTTGCTTTGTCACTTCGAATACGTTTAATGAACGAAGGATCAAATAAGAGTAATGACAGTTGCTTGCAAAAAGCAACAAAGAAATATAAGAGACACGCCCAACAACTCCACATCGTCCAAAATCGACACATTCTCCCAAATGTATAATTTTTATGAATCATGTGGCGAGTCGTTACGGTAAAGATAAATGTCACCACACAGAAATCAAACAACAGACGGTAGAACGTCTTCATTTTTGTGAGTTGTTTTTCCACTTCATTCACCTTCATTACAATGGAGTTTTTTAGTTTTTCATATTTTCGTTCTTTGGGGCACAAGAGTCTCGGCGTTTTCGAAAATGTGGGGGAAACAATTCATATTATTGAATTTAATTTAATGTTTTTTATTCTTTTTGGTGTGATTTTGGAGGATTTGCTCAGTTATATGTTTTTAGGTGGTTTCTTCATTCAAATCTTTGTGTTACTCCTTTCTTTTGACTTTTGCTTCTTTTGTGGTGTGGCTTTGAAGTTAATTGTATTAACAGAAACCATATATTGTAGTAATAATATAATACAGTATTTTTTTAATCCCCAAGGACTGTTAATCAGACAATCCAGGCATTTGAGGGAATTTTTACTACAAAAATATGCCGAATGTCATAATCACTATATAAGGAAAGGTCTAATCATTTAAACACTAATATTGTGGGAATAATAAAAGAAGTTAGGGTCTTTGTGTTTATTCATTTAACAATCTTTTTAACTCTCTGTATAGTATTTTTATTAGAATAAATAATTTGTTGATGTTATAATTAAAAAACTATATATATATAATAAAAAAAATAACATAAAAAAATTAACAATAGATAATGTATATAGTATAAATAACTATAATAAACTAATATAATTAATCTAAAGATATAATAAGAATGGAAGAAGGAAGAGAAGGATTTTAAGTCCTTCTGCTTTGTCTCTGTTGTTGTTATTCACTTGAGGCTTGCACTTTCCAGTCGTAGAGCATATCATTCCAGTTCGACACGTTCCACAAAAAGGGATACACCCATCATCAAAAGGAACAGGACCGTCTTCAATGGTGTTGTTCAAGTCAATAGTGCACTCCACATTATTACAGTCAAATCTCTTCAACCCACAATCGTTCTGAAGATCGTATTGTGTCGACCTTTCGAAGAACACACTTTTGAGTTTCATTTTCTTCCCAACAGACATCATCTGTGTGAATACAAGTACATTTGCAAAGAGCCGATTTCTTTTGTCAAATCCAATTTTGATGTCTACTGTTTTTCCGTCGGTCCCAATGTTATACTCTGTATTAATTCTGTTTTGCACGGGGTAATTTAAAGACGGATTAAAGTCCTTGCTATTAACATTCATGAAGAGATCACTTTGAATGAATTTCCAGTCTTCAACATCTTCAATTTCCACTGTAATTCTCGCTTCTTTAAAGTCTTGAGCAAACAACATTTCAGTTGGGTAATTAAAAATGACAGAGAGGAGTCCATCCTTTGACTCAAATTCAATTGTCTTGTCTAAGTGAGTGTAAATAGTTGTAGAGTTGTCTCTATTTATTTGGAGAACTCTCCACGTAAAAAAGGATGCTTTTAATCCTTCTTTGTTTTCAGACCAGACAAGTGGGTCAGCAAAGAACCGGCACTTTTGGATCTCAGCAGACGAGAAGCGACTATTTGATACTTTCTCGACGTCACTTTGAGTGTTGAAGTCATCAAAGAATATTATTTCCCCATCAAAAGAGACCAAACCAAGTGATACACGTTCTTTGTATTGAGGAATTACGAATGTGTCATCTTCTTGCTTTGGATAGGAAGTGGTCACTCCGTTATTTTTTATGACAGCAATAGAAGGGGTTCTATTGTGGTTGATAAATTGGATTTTGACATTTGAGGAAGTTCGGTCCAAAACTATTAAAGAAGGGTTGACTCCCAAATCGAACACCAGTTCGTTCATTGTGACTTGTGTCATCGATAAAGTGATTTGATTAATTCCACTAACTAACGTGGATATCACCTTTTTGTCCACTCCAATTACAACTTTGGACAATTCGTCAGAAATGTCTTTAGACTTCACAACTACGTATCCGGCTATCATACACAACTGGGAACGTTGTGTTGGTCCAGTCAATTGAATATACTCTCCACACCTTGACAAATTATTTGGAGTCAAGTTGACCAATAGAAAATCCTTGTGGATATAACACTTAATGCCCAAATTTTCACCGAGTATCTTTTTATCATAGTCTTTGACTATTGTGTTGTCGTAACATTCCTTTCTTTCAACAATCTCAACATCTTCCGAGTCCATATCCACTGCAATGAAGTCGTTTATACAGTTCACCTTCCCAGATAATGCACAAGAAAACAGCGTGAATAATAGTACAACACTAAACACCATAGAGAAGTGTTGAATATTAAGTTGATTTTTTAGAACCCTTTTTTATATTGTGACATGCGATGAATAAATTAAAACTATAAATATTTTTCAAATCACACCCAATAAATCAATAAAACCATTTTTTGTTCATCAGAAAAAGAAAAAAGCGTTTTTAGCTTTGTTTTCAAGTATCACTTATTTTGCTTTGAATTGTCACAAATGTAAGGGAATGAGTCACATTTTTTGGTGGTTTTTTTTGTATAACATTAAGGTCACATTACCAATATATTTCGTTTAGGTGATCCATTGTTTTAATTGAAAAAACGTACAATTGATTTGTCGTAAACAATTTGTCAAACTAAAATAAAAATTCTATTTTAATAAAACCAAATAAATACGATGATAAAAGTTATTTGAAAAATCGAAATATTTTATGAGCAATTATTTCAATCAGATTGTTTTTATTAAGCAAAAATTAGTGTTGACATTTAAAATGTTTTTTAGATCAATATTTCTCTAATAGTTTTACTTTTAATTAATTAAATTATATCTAGTAATAATTATGAAAAAAACACTTTTAATTATTTTATATTTTAAAAACGTTATGTATTTTGGGAACAATCCAATTCTTCTTTGAATAACAATAATACTCCTGACCAATAGTAAAATTATAATACATTATAATTAATATTTATTAAAAGTTTTAATCTTGTTATTTTGGCTGTTTTGTTTATTATGTTAACTTTTAATAGTTTTTTGAAAACTGTTTTTTACAGGTTTTTGCTTTATTTATATCTTTTTTAGTTGATTTAAAAGGTGCTAAGATTGTTAATCAATATAAATTATTAATAAATTTATATTATTAAGTCCCACGAAATTAGCTTATTATTATAACTATTGATTTATCAAAAATCGTTAAAAATATATAGACTTCCCAAAAGATATCAATTATTCAAGCAATTGGGAAAAAGGACTCTTTGAGTATCTTTTCCATGTCCTTCACCATTGGAATCTTCGGGTTGCATGGCGAGCACTGATCCTCGAAAGCAAGAAGAGCCATCTCGGGAACATGTGACATCCAGTCCTCCTCTTTAATACCAGCCTGCTTGAATCCAGTAATTGTCTCAGTGTCGAGCATCAACTTCTCACAAGCCTTGGCAAACAACTCAACACCGTTTTCGTTGTTTTCAGTAGTGATTCCAACCAAATGAGCAAGGTTGTTGTATCTCTCGTCAGCCACATACACGTTGTACTTTGGCCACATCGCCAACTTTCTTGGGACAACACCATTGTATCTGATAACGTGTGGTAATAAGACTGCAACACATCTTCCATGTGGAATATGGAAGGCAGCTCCAACTTTGTGAGCCAAAGAGTGGGCAATACCAAGGAATGCGGAAGCAAATGCCATACCAGCAATGGTAGCTGCGTTGTGCATCTTTTCTCTAGCGATTAAATCACCATTGTATGACTTGACCAAGTTGTCGAAGACCAATTTCACTGCTTCTTTGGCAAGACCGTCTGTGTATTCATTTGCCATAACTGAGACATAAGCTTCAACAGAATGGACCAAGACATCAAGTCCCGTATCGGCAATAGCTCTCTTTGGCAATGAGACTGTGAACATTGGGTCGATGATAGCAACCGATGGAGTCAACGAGTAATCAGCAAGTGGGTACTTCTTACCAGTGTCAGTGTCTGAGATGACAGCAAATGGAGTGACTTCAGAGCCGGTTCCTGATGTAGTTGGGATGCAAATAAGTCTTGCCTTCTTGCCCATTGTTGGGAATTTGAATGCTCTCTTTCTCAAGTCCAAGAACTTCTGTTTCATGCTGAAGAAATCAGCTTCTGGGTGTTCGTACAACAGCCACATGATCTTAGCCGCATCCATCGCACTTCCACCACCAATGGCAATGATGTTGTCTGGGTTAAATGTGTTCATTACAGCAAGTCCCTTTCTGACTGTTTGAATAGAGGGATCTGGTTCGACATCGATGAAAATTTCAATTTCAACATTGTTTTGTCTTCTCTTCAAGACGTCCATCACTCTGTCGACATAGCCAAGCTTGTACATCATTCTATCAGAGACGACGAAAATCTTTGAGAGCTCCTTGAGTTCCTTCAAGTATCTGATCGCGTGTGGCTCGAAGAAGATCTTTGGTGGGACTCTGAACCACTGGAGATTGTTTCTTCTCTCAGCAAGTCTCTTGACGTTCAACAAATTGCAGTACGTGACGTTTGCACTGACTGAGTTTCCTCCGTATGAACCACATCCCAAAGTAAGAGATGGTTGCAAGTAATTGTATATGGCTCCGAGAGCTCCTTGAGTTGATGGACGTTGTGGAGAATTCTGCACGCCTTCATTCTCAACGCAAATTGCTCTACAATTTTAGAGTCGTTCGAGTGAATTGCAGCTGAGTGTCCAAGACCACCAAACTCAAGCATAGCCTCGGCCTTATCAATTCCATCAGCAGTGTTTTCTGCCTTCAAAATTGCAAGAACAGGTGACAACTTCTCCTTTGTGAGGGGCTCTTTCACACCAACTTCTTTGCACTCAGCACAGATGATATTTGTGTCTTCGGGAATGACAAATCCAGCGTTCTCAGCAAACCACTTTGGTGACATACCTGGGCACTTTGGGTTGAGTCTAGCATTTGCAGAGTCATCAGAATATGCGCAAACACCAAACATGAACTTCTCGAGTTTTGCCTTCTCTTCGTCGTTCACAAAATAGCACCCAAGTCTCTTGAATTCAGCGATCGCATCGCCATAAATTTCTTTGTCGATGATAGCAGCTTGTTCTGAAGCACAGACCATACCATTATCAAACGACTTTGACATAACAACATCATTAATTGCTTGCTTCAAAAAGCATGATTTCTCAATATATGATGGGACATTTCCGGGTCCAACTCCAAGTGCTGGCTTTCCAGACGAGTAAGCTGCCTTGACCATGGCTCCTCCACCAGTCGCCAAAATAGTAGCAACACCAGTATGATTCATCAATTTGTTGGATGCTTCAATACCACCAAACTCAATCCATTGAATGCAGTTCTTTGGTGCTCCCGCCTCAATGGCAGCATCTCTGACAATAGTAGCTGCTGCAATTGAGCATTTTAAAGCAGATGGATGGAATGAGAAAACAATTGGGTTTCTAGTCTTAATAGAAATGAGGGACTTAAAGATGGCGGTTGATGTTGGGTTGGTGACTGGAGTGACTCCACAAATCACACCGACTGGTTCAGCGACTTCAGTAATACCATAAAGTGGGTCAGTGTTGATTATACCAACAGTTCTGGCGTGTCTCATCTCGTGTGTGACGTGTTCGCAAGCAAAGATGTTCTTTGTTGCTTTGTCTTCCAACACACCTCTTCCTGTTTCTTCAACAGCCAATTGTGCCAAGTAACAGTGTTTATCAAGTGCTGCAACAGATGCCTTCTTGACTATATAATCGATCTTTTCTTGAGTGTACTCTGGTTGCAGATACTCCTTTAACGCAACTTGGGCATTCGCGACTAACGTGTTGATGTGCTGATCAACAGTGATTTTCTCTTCGCTCATTCTGATTTTCAAGTTTTTTGAGTACTTTTAAATCCCCAGATACTCACTTTGTTGAGATTTCTCAATTTCGTTCTCACTTTTCTTCCCACAAACTAAGTAAAATTCAAATCACTAGGGTGGCTAATTCATAACGAGTTATGAATTAGAATAGGATCAAACCAAAAACCATTTGTTTTTGATTTGATCCTATTGATTTCTTTTTCCTTTTTACTATTTGTTTAAGTTTGGTTAAACCAAAAATTAACTATTAACTATTTTTCTTATTTCAGAAACGTCAAAATCAAGTTTGGTATTAATTGTGCTAATTATCCTGGTTTTTTCTGTGTTAAAAGTGCTTTTATTATTTTATTTTAATAACAATAAAGTCCTTTTCGAACATTCTTCCCTTTTTTATTTCTGGAAAAAGACTTTTTACGTGGCAATCACGCACTGATTTTTGAGATTGAGGTTTTTAAATATAGATTTAATTCACAAAAAAAGCATAAACTATTGTGATGTATAAAATAATAATAAATGACGAATGGTTTTACAATAATTTATAATAAATGTCTTTTGGGATAATTTGATTTACAAATTATAGTTTGTTATTAATAAAAATAGTATTTCACAAATTGCGTGTTTAGAATTAGAAAAGATTACAAATAATTAATTTAATTTAGAACAACATAACTAATTAATTAGAATTAGGGTTTCCTGAAATTTTAAAAATATAAAAAAGCGACTTGGTTAGATGTCTTCGTTAGTTGTTTCCTTTTTTTTATGTGTGATTTTTGTGAACAAATTTTTCAGTGGTTCGATGACTTCCTTTTCGAAGTAAGTTGGGGAGTAGTGAACCATTTGTCCGACAATGACAGCGTCACACATTAATTGGAAAATACCGCAACAAATGAATTGCAGAGGAACTTCAGAGATGATGAAATAAATAGTTTTAAAGGAGTCACCAACGATCCATCCGATGATAGTAGAAATAGGTAACCCGTCGCCGCTCTGTGTTTTGAAATTGTGATATATTTGTGGGAGTGCAAGCATCACTTCCACAATACTAGAAATCGCTCCAAGACTTTGGACGATGAAATACGAGTGTTGTGTTAAATATCCAAAGACAAGAACAATTGCACTTGAAACGACAAAGACTGTCAGAGTCTCTTTGATATCATTTTTTAGTGCAACAGAAGAAAGATATAATAATGCAACCATCCCACTGATTAATACAACGCTTTGAATTAACAAAAATGTGTCATATCGTTCGCCAAAGTAAAATGAAATTCGGAAGATGTTACTTGTGAGCAAAACATAACACGTACCTAAGCTAAAGCTTTTGAATATATTTTCATCATTTCGAGAAATGAAAAATGTAGTGTAAGGCGCTATCGGCATAAACACCATTAAAGTTTGCACTATTAAATTCACCACCGTCCCAACAACACCCATTTCTACTTTAAACAGTTCTTTTCTAAGTTATCGGTGGTTAAGAACTTTGAGGAATTCAAAGAATATTTTGATGGTTTATTTTTAATTTTTTATAGTTATATTATGGTACATGTTTTGGTTGTGAAATGATTAACAAAACCATACAATCACTCTATTCTCATCCCACCACTTTATATCAACAACTCCCAATGATAACGGCATCAAAGCTCATCCATCTTTTTTATTTGCTCATTTAAGTCTTTCCCGAAGGACGGCACAACAGAAGTTCTTCCTTTAAATGTGGTTAAAGGAAGTTCTACCCGGTTTTGTTCACACCCCTCAAGTTCATACAACTCCCCATCTACACCAGTTTCCATCTGGCACATTTGTTCTTTCACAACGCCAAATCGATCTTGAACGCTTGAACACAACAACTCACACTCAGTACATACAGTGTTTCCAATTGCTTCTTTTCTCGCCATTTCTTTACCAATGTTGTTGATGTCCCTTTTGAGTAATACACTGAACCCATCAGAACCTATTGCGCCATCAACGTAAGTCATAATATTTGCAACGTGCTTTTTACATCCCTTTTCATACTTTGCCTCATCTTCTTCGACATCGGCAGATATTTTTCGAAACGCCGTTTGACTTAAAGTTATCTTCTCTTTTATTTCGGCCTTTTTGGCTGTCATCTCGCGCTGCATTTTTTCCTCCAATTCCTGCCTCTTTGTTTTACTGGTGGTCATCACCGTTTCAATTTCATTTATTTTCATGTGAATTTTGGGGAACACAATTTTCTTCTTTTCATCACTGATTTGCTTTTGGCGGGTTTCGATTTTGTCGCTGAGCCAATTTTCATAGAAGGACTGACTCGCACCAACTTCCACACCAATTTGGTCAATCACTTTTTGGATCTTCAAAAGACCTTCCGCAATGCTCCTTTGCACCGCTTCGTTTCTTTCACGCTTCTTTTGTTCAAACTCCTTTTCTTCATCTTCTTCCATTTTTGTATTTTCAACACTCGCGTTTTCAATGCGCTTGGTCTCACTTTGAATGGACTCCAACATCTGTGTGAACCCATTTTGGAAGCAAATTTTCTCTTGTTCTTCGTCTTGCTTTGACATATTTTTGAGCGCCTCGATCTCGTCTTTTTTCTTCTGAATTTCTTTGTACACGGTTTTGATCTCTTCAACATCTTTGTAAAACGCCCTCTTTCGAGCCTCAATCGCATTTCGCCCATCCTTTTCCCAATTCACAAATTGCGCTTGGACAACACCACCAAGTTTTCTTGGCACGACACGCTCCAGTTCCACACCACTAACAAGTTTGATTGGTTGTTGTACTTCTTCCATCTTCTTTCCTTCACCACACAACTTTTGTTTGACATCTTCCACCATCGAAACCCCTTGTTGTATGTCACTGCATTGTTTAATAACTGACGTCCGTCGGTCTTTCACTGAATTTTCGCTCATTTTGATTTTGTCCTGATTTTTCCGATAGACTTCTTCAATTCTTCGACACTCTTCAGTGAGAACAATAACACTGGAGACCACTTTCTTCAATATGGTTTTCAGCTCAATGCAGTCTTGTTTTTTACTCTCAATGTATGAAACAGCGTTTTTCAATTCGGATTTTGCCACCTCGACTTCGCCTTTTGCAGCGGCAAATAGCAACTGCATTTCTTGGTTTTTTCTGTTCACTCGACTCAACTCGTTTCGCAGATTTTCAATGTCCTCCTCGCTGAGCTGTTTGTCCCCCTCCTTTCCCTCGTTGATCATTCTCTTGAGCTCGCCAATCTTCTCCAATTTCTTCTGAAAGAAAACGTCTTTACGAATGCCTTCGTTCTGCTTGGGCGAGTTTTTGATGGTGTTGACTCGTTTTGCGTAGTCCAAAGAACTTAATGTTTCCTCTTCGTCTTCAACTTCTGGAGAAATAGTCGCGACCATCGCAGTGACACTTTTGCCCCCCAACGCATCGGCTAATATACGAGTAAGTGCAGAAGACCTATAAGGAATATATTTATCTCCTTTGCTCAAGCCCATGATGACACGATTCAACACAAGTAGACTTTGGTTGATTGCCATTCCTTCAATTTGTTTGACCTTGTCCCCAAGAACACCCGCACGTTTACAATTTTCACTGCCAGCCAAATCAACACAATTGATCCTTCCAATACGAACCGTAGGTCCTTCTATCATGTTTTCTGTTGCTATTTGAACAATAACAGTGAATATACAATGCGAACGCGACGAGTTGGGATTCAAGTCTGTTTGTGCGGTTGTTCGTTGAGCGGTCGACCGTGCGAGGATTTCTCTGACGTTGTCACGTGTCACAGTCATTTCAGTGGCATTGACGGGTGCACACCCCCCTCCACTCTTTCTTTCCCTCACAAAAAGTTCCTCTTTATTTTGAGAGAGGAGGTCAAACACCTTTTCGTTATAGATTTCAATGTGTGTCACCTTCATCACATATTTCAGCCCCTTCTTTTCTAACACATCAAACAACTCAAACACAAGTCGCGGTATAACCCCTTCATTCTTCTCTTCTCCTTCCATCGTAAACGTTTTGCCGGTACCCGTCTGTCCATACGCAAAAAACGTGCAATTGTACCCTTCAATAACTTGTGGGATGAACCCGTTGAGTGCTGTTGTATAAAATGTTTGCTGATCTGTGGTCATCGGAAAGACACCATCAAAGGAAAATTTCTTGTCACGTATCTGAACAGACCGCGGAGAGGTTTTAATGTCTTCAGAATGCCCATCCTTCTTCAGTGGGCGGATCCGAACATAGACTTTGATGTTCATTCTTTCTCATTTTTCGAGTTTTTTCATCACTTTTCTTTCTTCTTGTTCTGTTGTTATTATTAATTGTTTATTTTACTATATTGATTAATTCTTTTTTTCACTTTCTTTTATTTTTTTTATTAAACGTTTTTAATTAATAATTTTTTTTTTCTTATTTTTTTTATTGTTTTTTTAATATAATTTATTAAATTATTAATGATATAATATAGAATAATCATATAGTATATTTAATCGTAAATATATAGTTTTTCAATAAGATCAAAAATTATGGAATAGATGAACATAAGAAGGAAATAAAATGACTAAAAATAATATTCACTACTTGTCTTCGAAGAAAGGGTTAGTCGCATTGTACGTAGAACTTAAAACGCCGTCGAAGTACGTTAACGACTCCTTCCTCTTATTCTCGTTTACCTGACCTGTCACGATTTTTGCGTTCTCGAAATTGATTCTGTTTTGCTCTTCCTCCTTCTTCTTCATGTCGTCCATCAATTTTTGTTTTTCACTTTCGATCGCCTTTTGCGAAATGACGAGGTAGTCTTCGAGCCCATTTTGGGGTTGGTCCAATAATTCTTCACCTAGAATCAATCTTTCAATACTTCTATATGATAACTCGGGATTGATGCATTTGTCCTCTATCTCTTGTTGTTCTTCCTTTTCCTTTTTTTGTTGCTTTTCAAATTCAACAATATTGAAGTCGACTTGTGGGATGTACAACAAATTTCGCATCGTGTCAGTCTTTTTTCGCTTTTGGCTTTTGATCGGCGACGGGTCTTCATATGTCTTTGTGATGAGATTATCATTCGTCATTGTCTTAATGTTCCTCTTTACGGTTGCTTGATTAATCACGACGGAATCGTCGCAAATCTCGTTATTCACGATTTTTTGTTGGCTTTTCTTCTCATCCTTTCCGTCACTGAAAATCCTATCAGTCACTTTTGCTTTGACTTTCCTTCGTGAAGTCTTTCTTTTAGATTCTGGGATTTGTGAAATTATTTCGTCCAACCCGATTTTGAGGTTTTGATGTTCCGTGAAATTACCACCAAAATTCGGGAATATTGCTGCAAAATTGGTAATGATAAATTCACCAATCTCAATCGAACCCAAATACTCATTTGTCGTTTCGGCATCCCCGAACGTGTCGTTTTCGCACAAACTCATCAAATTTGTTGTGAGGCAAACCGAAATGTTTTTCGCACTCATTGAGTTTATCTCAGACTTGTCACTAATCATTTTTGCGATCTTGAACGTGTTTGCCAGAACGAAGTAATTTTCAATCTCGAGAGAAGAAAGGGTTGTTTTTAATTCATTTATCAATTTGGTTTCATCCCTTTCCATTCGATGGTAGGAGCTCCACACTTTCAATAATTTTTCGGTGACTTTTCTATTCACAATACTCCCTGGTATATTCCTTAAAAACCTTTTATATACATTAGCGACGACGTCGCATGGCATCTCATCAAAATGTGTAACGCTTAATCGTTGGCAGATTTCCTCTATCCGTCGAACTGACGCGTTTTGGCTTTCTCGAAAAATCCCTTTTGTATTCCACCCATTCGTATATAACACATTTAACATTCTATACACAGCACATGGCATTTCTTCGCTCGTTCGTTTCTCAGAAAGTAATATCTCTCGTATAGTCTTATTTGTATACTGTGTGTAGACAAACAATTTACTTTGTTCCGCTTTCTATTGGTTACTATTTGAAATCTGATATTAATAAAATAGATATAATATAATTAATATAGATATAATATAATTAAAATATATATAACATAATTAATATAGATATAATATATGGATATATGAGTCAACAAACCGTTTTTAAGTTCGACGAAATAGTCGAGGTGAAAGGGGTGTCAGTGAAAAAAGAATGCCCCAATGAAAATAAGTTTTCGAATGATTTGAAGAGTGTTAGATAGTAATGGGGAAGTGCGAGGAGTTGGTCGTTATAAAACATTTGATTTTGGGAGAAAAGGATTTCTTGGCCTTGTGTTGGGGAAGCAAATGAAGCGCGAAGTTTGTTGATGTTCATAAACATTTCATTTGGAGTTTTAGAAGCTGCTTTGATTGTGTCTGTCATCAACTCGAAGTTATTTGCAATGAACCTGAAAGCGCCAATAAATTGTTCGGTCACTTTCTTGTCTATCTGTAAGTTTGTATTTCAGAGTCAACGAGTTAATACTATATTTACTATAGAATTAAACTAGTTGAAAACAAACCCAATAAAGCATTAGAAAAAGGAGGAAGTTTGGTGAGGAATTCGGCATGTTTGTTCAATTCTTGTTGTGTTGTTGAAAGAAGTAAAACAACACGAGTTGCTAAAGTTTGCTCTTCTTGCCAGAGTAACTCAATTGTACGCAAATCCGCCAGACGGTCTTTTATGTTCCGTTCCACAGATATGGTTTGGTTCCACTGCATTAATACTTTACAGTTTTTTAAAAAGAATTACAAGAACTTAATTAAACTATTTGAGTATAGTTTTATGTAATACATTAGATATGTGTTTGGTTTGTTGAAATTACTAACAATATTGTTAAATCAATTGTTTAATTTTATTATTAAAATAACTTTTTATATTATAAATTATAAATATTCTTTTTTTATTTTATTAATTTGTAACACGGTTGAGCATATTAATTTTCGCAACTAGACTGTATATATCATTTTATTATTATTTATGGCTAAATACTTGAAACCAATGAATTGCTATATTTCAAAAAATTTGACTTTTTTGTATATTTTTTTCTAAATTCATAAATTAATTTTTTAAAGTATTAAAACGTCCATTATAAAGTGCTTTTTTTTATTTAAAAACTAAAAAAGTCAAGAAAATGAAAAATGACAAAAACAACTTTTTCAAAAAAAGATATTTAATTTTTAGTTATATTTTCTAGATTTGAAAAAATATGAAATTTCATTTCTATTTTTTAAAATATTTCAAAAGTTTTCGTTTTTTTTTATTAATAGAACAAATGATGAAACTATATAATATAAATATTATACCATATAGTAAATTCAAAAAGATCGACTAATTCTTTTTTAATAAAAAAACTATAAAAATCATATTTCAATGTCGACACCAAAAATCCTTAAATCCCCGTCACTCAATCTTTCTTCTCCGTCTCAATTTCACTCTCCAGCGAAATCGGACTCCTCTTTGACGTATTCAGTTTGTAGTGCACCAAATCCATTTAAGCACATAACCGATGTTACTTATATGACAACTCCACCCCGTCCAGGTGTATTGCTCTTAACTTCAATAAACCAACACGTCTTAATTCGATTCCACGACTATACGCCAACGACGGAGAATATCACAGAAGCTTACGATGATGTTATATTCTATTTAGAAGACACTCCGTCTTATATATCTTCGCCCACAGAAGCAGCGACTGAAATATTATTCATTCCCGGGCGCCCCCTGGGGTTCTCTGTCGATGCGTTCTTTATGAAGAATGACGCTTTCTCTCAATTTCTCTTCTTTTTGAAGAGTCTTGGAGTGTCTTTGGCAAATGGCATTATACAGACAACAGCAGCACAGTCGATGTTCAAATTGGATGTCGAGAGATATATAAGAAACCTCGACTTGAATGTGTATATTGATAAGAGAGTTGATTGGATTCAAAGCAACGGACTTACATTACTCAGTCAAGTGTCGGTGATCCCACAGAGCGATGGCATTGATGATAAAATGAAGAATTCGATATTATATAAAGGCATTGAGGATGATATTCGTGGGAAAGTTTGGATGCGATTATTACAAGTGTCCGATGATGAGACGGAATTTAAGAACATCTTAGAACAAGTCAACCACATCACACAGAACCAATTAAAGAGATCCAGAGAGCTTCGGAAGAATTTTGAACAAATAGAGAAGGATGTTGGGCGCACACCAATTGAGGGGGAGTTATTGACTAACACCAAAAAGTCGATAGAAGAGATTAAAAATGAGTTGCGGGTGTTAATGAAGTGTTGGGTAGTCTATTACCAAGACTGTGGATATCAACAAGGACAGAGTGATGTGATGGTTGGTATAATGGAAGAGGTTGAGAGTATGTGTGGGCGGTTTTATGTGTTTGAAAGAGTGATGGAGATATTGAAGAGTGTGTATATAGTTCCCATTGACATTAATAATATCATGGCTGTCTTAATGGAAGTCTTAGATGATGATGTATATTGTTATATGAAAATGAAGAAGATAGGATATTCCTTTGTCTACAAGTGGATTGTCTTATTATTTCGACGCGACTTCACACCCAAAAAGTGTAAAAGAATATGGGACGCAATCTTTGCATTCAAAGAGAAGAAGTTAGTCTTTTTCATCGCAGCTGTGATGATCATCCATAACAAGAGGATTATTCTTGACAACAGATTTGAACTCGACTCACTCGCAATATTCTTCCAAGAGCTTGAAAATCACTTCGATGATGGTGTCGTCTATGACGCAGATATCGCGTATTATACCTTCATGGAAAAGGCAACCCCCGACCAGAAAAAGTACTTTGACAAGTTGTAATTTTATAGTTTATTTTACTATTTTCAATGGTTACCACGAGAATGCTAGTTGTACTAAAAATAAGTGATACGTTTCTATAATTTTAAACTATATACTTCCCCTCATTTCAGTACTATACTATAGTAATTACAATACTAAACAATATTATAGTTAATTTATAGTAAAATATAAACAATCACAAATAAAGTCTTATGCCTTTGTATTTCCTTTAATCCCGACTTTTTCGAACGAAAGGAGAAAGCCGAACTCCGTGAAAGCGTTACAAATGAGTTCTGAAATGGTCAACCAATTTGGTGATTCGGCCGACCATTGCATGTTCATCACCGTCTGTCCTTCTTCATTTTTTCCGACGGCGAGTGTCATCTTGTCGTTTTCTTTAGTGAAGACTAAAGTTTGTTGGTCTTTAGCGGATGTGAAAGTTTTCTTATTCAAGATCTGAGTCACGACTTCGACGATTTTTGCTGGTGGAAGTGTTGATCTGAGTATTACGGAACATCTGAAATCGGTCTCTGACAACTCGACGTCGTTTTCATAAGCGAATTGATGAAATGTGATGAAGTCCTTTTGTTGGATTGTTTTTGGAAGCTTTTGTTGCATATCTTTGAGTAGTCCATATCTCTCCAATTCTTCACCAAAGACGCGAATCACCGTCGACACCGCGTCATTCTCTTCCGTCTCCGAAAACGTTATAACAACAACATCACACTCTTTAGTCTTCCCAAACGTCAATTTCGCAAAGAACATGAACGCGGGCAATACGGCGACAATCGAGGTGTTGGTCTTACTCAATTGGAAGTGCTCAAACTCAAAAGTCGTGTAGAACAGCGTGTAAATGAATTCTTTGTTGATCGGCTCGTTTAACTCCGCCACCCATGACGTGCTCGACAAAAATTTGGTGTGAAGGTCCAATGGACTTTCCTTCCTGAAGAACCATGAAAACATCACTCTTCTTTTAGAGTTCTTAGTAGCTTTTTTTTAACTAGCAAAATGGGGACTTTTGGAAATGGAAAGACTGTACTATAAATAATAGTTTGTTTACTAGAATTATAGTACTCCGAGGTGAATCACAAAAACTTTAAAACTGTATTTGGAAGACAATCGATGGGGAAGTGTGGCGTGGTGATGAGAAGCATGGTCTCATTGATTACGACCAAATTGGCCGATTTTAAACAGTCGTATAAGAACACCAATATGAAAGGAAGGATACTTATTATCTTTCCATTGGTGATAATCACGTTGTTGTGTGTCTTTAGCCCATTTCTCTTTCAGATTGATAAAAGGATAATGAGGTCGGAACGACTTCCAGAGATATACATTAATAAGAGAGAAATCTCGATTGAGATTGACAGAATAGCATTTTTCTGTTTTGTTACACTTGGCATCTTTTGGTGGGTAGTCACTACGTATTCAGTGTTATATAAAACTAATACTGGAGTCCATGCTAACGTTCAAATGGTAGTGTGCTGTGTGTTGGTATTACTTACTAAAGTGAGAAGGCCAACTTATGTTGTTGATTTCTTCTTATTATTTCTCACGTGTATCTTAGCCGTGTTTACACTTGCACTCCACAGATTTTTGGTCGATGAAAATGAAAATAAGTTCTTTCCGTTCCAAACGACTTTCGACAATCTCCAAAACTCTCAAAGCGCTTTATTTGTAAATTTTACTTTACATGGAACTGTAGCTTTTGTTTTGGTATTATACGCAGCACTCCCTCATATCTTTTTGTCAATGGTACTCAGAGTTTTAATGTCTTTTTCTTTTTTATTAGCTTCGGCTTGTTATTATGCGTCGACAAATTCATTCACATCGTTGTTTGTTCTATTTTTTTATTATTTATTATTTTATATAATTATTATATATAATTATTATTTACTATTATTATTTACTATTAATGTCAATAACAAATCAGCAAAAACAATTTATACACATTCTCCTTTTTATGTCTAACCGTTTTGGTCGTTTCGTCACTCTCATTTTTGACAAATCCTCGGACAATCAATTTGACAACTATTCCACTCAGTTTGTCATTTGCTCTTTTCGTATCAATCACATTTAATAAAAAAAATAACAGGAAGTGTGCCTTTTTGTGTTTGATTCGTTATTTGTGTATCGGCATATCGCTGTCATTGTCAATACAATTTCTTCACTTTCCGTTCAATCTTCCCATGAGGCGTCGTTAGCTCCACTCATGCAAGAAGATGAAGAAATTTTTGTACCAACAACAATAAACCAAACTTCTCCATTGAACTCTTTAAATGATAAGAAGTAATTCAATTTATCACATTTAAAATCTTATTTGTATTTTAATTTGTAATTAGAACGAGCTGAAAACAATTGAGTGAATTATAACAAGTAATTCAACTTGATTTCGTTGAGCTGTTTGAGCAACTGTGCAAGAGTTGGTCTCTTTTCATTGTTCTTTTTCTCATCGTTTTGTTTCTCCAGTTCGATTTCGACTCCGATTTCCCCATTGAGTGTATTTTCAAACACCGAGTTAAACGTTTTAATCATATCCAAGTCCTCAACCCTCATGAGGTCAAAGAACTCTTGAGTGCAGTTGTACACGTCATTAAATTCCTCTTCTTTGGTCGCTCCCATGAGTTTGTTGCACGTTTCGGAAGTGCTCTTACACACTTCAATTAGTTTTTCTGCGTTCTTTTTTTTCTCTTCTAATAAGTCGAAATCATTTTGTATCGCCGAGATTTGATCACAGAGTGTCTCGTGTACTTCCCCGACAATGGCCAATATTTCTTTGACAATTGCAAGCTTTTCGTCTTCTTCTTCATTTTTTTCCAATTTCTGTAGTTTCTTTCCGACGTCTTCAATCTCTTGTATCTTTTTCTCTGAAATGAGAACATTGAGGTCTTGAAGTAGCTTCTTACCGCTCTCACTGTTTCCATCAAATGCTTTATTTTCAGAAACTTCTTTCAAAGCAATGTTCACGCTTTCCACTATTTTCTGTGTTTCAACTAAATTTTCCTTCTTCGTTCCGACGTTCTCAATCTCGTTATCATAATTATTCAAGAAGTCGCCTTTGCTTTTTGAGCAGTTTTCAAGCAGCTGTAAAATCTCAATAACTCCTTTCTCGCTTTTGCCTTGTATTTTTTGTACTGTTTTTAAGTAACAAACGATCTGAGATTTTGAGATTGCGATCTCCTCATTGAGTTGAGATTTTTCAATACTTTTCAGAGCTGTTTTTACCACTTCATCTGCTTGACTTATTTTCTTCTTTTCATTGATAAACACGTCATTTGCCGCCCCAACAAATTCGTCGAGGTGTGTCATGATCGTTTTGAAATCTGCTTGGACCTTCTCGACGTTGATCGCAACCTGTTCTTCCATCTTCGGAACAATTTCCATTATCAACTGCCCAGTTTTATCCCAAAACATATCCACATTCCTTTTAAAAGTAGTTTTGCTTGTTATGTATACATCGATATTATTTTTAAATAACTTAATAAGCCCATACGTTCTCAGTCTTTCTATATTATCAAAACCATATAACTCTGCGCGTTTCGCTATTTTCTCTTTCATCTTTTCGACATTTAAATCTTCTTTGTTATTAACTAATTCCTCAACACTAATCTCTTTTTTCTCATCTTTCGTTTTTGCCAAAAAGTACGAGTCGTTGATTGATTTGATCTTTTTTTGAAGATTTGTGAGTTCGTCGAAAATCGCTTTTGTGCCGGCAGTTTGCTTTTTCTGGAACGCTTTATTGATTTTGGTGAACGCAGCGTCAACTGTTTTCGAAATGAAGTCTTCCCGTTTAACGTCATCAATTTCGTTTTCGTACGTGTTGATTAATAGATCAAAGTAAACTCTTTCCATTGTTTCAAGTGATTGTTGGTCCCATTGTGTGTCATCCCATTTCTTTTTTAAATCTCGCCACGTGTTGTTAATGTCTTTCATGACGTCTGGGTACGTACCAAAGAGTGACGTCACCTGATTATTAATTTCGTTTTGGAGTGCGTTAGCCACTTCAGACGCAGTGTGTTTCTTTTCTTCTTCTGTTATGATTTTTTGATCTGCCAATTCGAACTCCATAAGTTTTAATGAAAATTCTACTCGCACTAAATTGTTTGCAAGATCAAAAGTAAAGGGGTTTGCTTGTTCAATCTTCGTTCTGGCATATTTGTCATACACCCTTTCAAGATTTTCAAGTTCTTCTTCAAGTACATCAAGACTTTCTTTTTCGTTTTTGGACTCTTTGATTTTCGCAACAAAATCGGTGACGGATGACGTGTACAAATCTTCGGCTTTTTTCAATTTGAGTTTTGATTCCAAAATGAACAGAAATTCTTCTGTCTTTTTCAATTTATATTCCATGTCGATCAAAGTTTGTGCCTTTTCTTCCACTTTTTCTTTATCACCACCTTCAGTTACGTGGATTTTCACTTCCTTTTGGAGATTTTTATATGATTCGTGAAACAAATGCAATTCTTCTTGCTTTTCCTCATCAATCATCTGGGAAAGTTCTTCGTTCAGTGGTTTATTTTCAAGATCCTTTGTTTTCTGATCGACAACGTCATTTCCTTCGTTTTGGGGTGTAATAGAAAGAGCCAATGCGTCGATCAGTTGAGTTTCTTGAATCATTTTTTTGACACTTTCTCCCTTTTCTTTGATTCCCGAATTCAAAACGATTTTAATATTAGTTGACGCAGTGGCCAGACTTTTATTAGGTTCAATCAAAGAAAATGAGACGATGTCCAATTTCCTATTTTTCTCACCGACCACTTCAGAGTACAAAATTTCCTGGAAAATTTTGAGACTTTCTTCAATCTTGTTTTTGCCGTCACCAATGACATGACCAACACAATTTAAAAATTCATAAAACTTTTTTTCTATTTTTTGTGTGTTTTGTGGTGATGTTTGATATTCATTCGATCTCATAAAGACATACATCTGACTTAATTCATATACCACAGTATTGAACTCCTTCTCATTCTTAAAAAAGTCTGACGAGATCATTTCAATGTTACTCTTCAGTCCATCAACTGAGCTCACAAGGTTATTCACCATCTTAGACAAGTCAGAGCTTTTGGCTGCTATGATCTCTTTGTTATTACTCATTATGATTGCGTTGTTCTTCGTCTCCGTGATCTTGTCGCGAAGGCCTTTCAAGTTATTAACTTGCCCGGCGACTATTTTCGTTGTTTTTGATATAGCCACATTTTGCTCGTGAGCCGTATTAATACACTTAGAAGTACTTTCTCTATCCATCAATAAGACTTTCACCATTTCAAATGCCGCAAGCGCTTCACATGTTTTCTGTTCATCGAAGTATTCAGTATCACTGACCTTCTTCAAACACGTGATTATTAAGTTCCTCAACGATTCAGGCATTTTCAATGCCTTCATTTCATCAGTAAATTGGTGACTCTCTAACTGTTTTAAGAAATTGGATAACTTCTCAGTCGTATTATGAGTCGTTGCAACAGACAGTAAATACAAGATTAAAACGCCTAATGAATATACATCACTGCGTTCTATGTATTTGTTCTCCGGTGGTGAAAACAACGAATTCTTTTCTTTTGCTGTTATCATGAGTAAGGGGTCATGACTTCCTATATCTTCTTTACTCTTCCCACTCTTCTGCGAATACTCCACACTCCCAATTATAGGTGCGCCATTTTGGAAATAAATGGTTTGTGGATTCAAATTCCCGTGGACTAATCCAAACGAATTAAGTGCTTGTACTCCCTTTGCAACATTTATTGTCATCTTCAAGACTTCAATCAACGGCAATTTCCTCTCTCGAATCTTCATTTCATATTCTAAAGTCTTTACTTCCATAAACACAAAGCACGTCACATCCATCTCAACCTTCCCAAAAAATGGTACAAACAATTTCCTTCTTTCCTCTTCCATTTTAGTGAGTAACTCATTCTCACTTGCTATAGTCCGGTTGCGACAGTTCTGAAGAAATTTAGTTCGCTCTTCATACCTCATAGAATACAATTTGGGTAAAGCCTCAAAGTCGTTGTTTTTGATCTTCCCATCTCTTCCAAGCAATTTCTCAACAATTCTCTGTGAAAACAATTTCCCATTCTCCTTGTTAAGGCAGAAGGCAGGGTACTTCGTTGAAACTTCGTCGTTCTTTGGAATAGAACACTCGCTGATTTTAATCAATTCCATACTTAAAGGAGTTTCAATAATATCACTGAGCTTCATTTCATTTTGAGCTATTGAAGATGTTGAATAACAGTCGATGTTAATTTGATATTGTTTAAAGCCTATATTTAAATGATCTTTTAAAGCTAAGTTAAAGAAGATGGGGATGGTGATGACGTCATTAGGGTTGAACACTTTGGCCTCAAACTGAAACTTTTTGAGTTTGTCCCCGTCTTCTCTCCAATAATACGCCAATTTGTCTCGAATGTTATCTTCTACCTTTTTCATAGCAAAGAACGACTCGGAAACCCCATCACTGATACTCTTGGAGTAGTCCGCATTCGTTTTCCCCATAATTTCAAGGGCTTTGGCCATGTCATATTTCACAAATGTTGTTTGGCCTAAATGAGACTCTTTTGTCGCTTTTTGCTTTGTTGAGTCATCTTCAAAATTTTGAAAGATCTGATATTTATTATTTTTGTCTAACTTCATCCCAGTCAGCGTAACGACAAAATCTTTTTTAACGTTGAAAAGAAGTGATGCATAAATCTCTATTGTAAAAGGCTCGTAAACGTTCACGTTTTTTGTAATGTAGTACACATCCTTGAACTTTGGAATCTCTTTTGTAGAAAGACCAGATTCAAAAAATCGAAGGTCACACATTTCGCCAAGAGACTCAGTTTCGGTCATTTGATTTTTAAGTTACTTTTGAGTGTGTGTATTAATTTTTGATACACAATTTATTACTCTTGTGTAGTTGTCTTTTACTCTTCATTTTTATATATAATATAACACTCTTTATTATTGTTGTTATTTATTGAATAACAACTTTTTCGTCTTTTTATGTATTTTTGATATGTTATTTTTCATTAACTCTTATCAACACTTTAAATAGCAAAGCAAAAAATGGAAAATCATCAATTATTAAATTAATATCCCAGTAATAGTAAAATAATTATAAAACAATAATTAATTAAAAAATATAATAATTATAAAAAAATAAAAAACAAAAAATCGTACTAACCAGGAGTTGAACCCAGGGAGTTTGGAAGAATAAACTGTGGCTTTTTAGGCCTTTAGTGCTTTCTGAATTTTTATGAATTTATCTCTTTTGACTCTTCAAGTTATTAAATTATTATAATTATTAATTATTATAAAATTATTAATTATAATTACGATAGTATAAATAAAATTTATACTATTGTAGAGCGAAACCCAAATGTAAGAGAAAAGTATTTATTTTCTGTCATCTTCGACAACCCAGTCGAAATTGAAAAGGTCTGGAACACCTTCACGAACGACGTCTGGGAATGCTTTGAAATCAAATGGGGTTTGCTCTTGATGTGTTGGTCCAGAAATGGCGTGTGTGATGTGTGGTTCGGAGACCTTAACAATTTTGCCATCAATAGCACCAAAAGCGGGAGGCAACTCTGTACTTCTCAAGTCGTATCGAGCTGCAATAGCATTGGAAGGCTCTTTCAGCGAGAGTTCGTCGTTCAAATAGTCATTGTATAACATGATGTGTTTCATCTCGTCCATATTAGTCACTTTGACTGCGTCTCTCTTGAATATCTTTGCGCGTGCATTATCTGTGTATTCATTCACATCGGGATACTTTTGTGAATAGCCCGATTTCTCATATATTTCAGTGTCATAAGGCACATTAAAAGAACCCCAATAATGATCGCCAGTAGTCAAGAAGTCGGTGACATCAAGTGATTTCATCAAACCAGGCATCTGTTCGCATATGAAAAGTGCTTCCTTCTTCAATTTCCAAGCGTTTGCATCAAACACAATCCACTGATTGTTATAAGTTCCCGAGTTGTATTGTTTAATAGTCTCAACAAAAGTTTTAGCGTCGGTGTCGTAATACAGCGAGCCTAAAATTCTCTGCCATGACAACAATTTGTCAGCAATTGATCCAATCAAAGAAGTGTCATAAACACTGTTTGTAGTCTCCATTACAAAGAGGGAGTTGTCGTCTGTATTAACAGTATAATAATCATCTTTCGAATGGATCAGTCCTGGCGATGAAGAGAAGCTCATTCTGATTCTTCTATTATTGTACTTAACGTCATATATTTTATATATTCTTAACATGGCATAATACCCTCTCCATGTGGCATGACCAAAGTAAATCTCATCATCGACATTGCGGACTAAAGCACTACATTCATGGAAGACCAAGTCTGGATATGCTTTAGACATGTATACTATAGATGTCTTGGGCTCAGTTCCAGTTTTGTAGACTTCATTTAAGTTCTCAAGGTCACCAACAGAGAGCAACATGTAGATTTCAATCTCGGGAAGTGCCTCAGTCGACGGACTGAATTCAGTGTACGCATCTACAAGACCGTTGAACTGTGACAATATCACTTTTTGATGTTTCCAATAATCGTTGGTCGCTGAGAGGCTCTGTGCCTTGAAGAAACCAAGTTGCTCAATCATGACACTCTTTAATGTGTCACTAAATATCCCTTTGTTGTATTCGTTCATTTTGTAATTGTTCCAATACAAATACATTTGGTGGTGTGTCAAGTAAGCCTCTAAGTATCCAAGACAATAAGACTGCTTGTCATCTGCAAGGTTTTGGTTTGATTTGAGGTATAGTTGTCCCCATCCAGTCGCATCTTTTGTATCATCAAAATACCCAATCGCACAGTTATCCTTAAAGCGGCCAGGAACTACTCTGTATGTGTTATCAACGCTCTCGATAACTGAGAAATATGTCGATGCAAATGCAACGCCAAACAAGAAATAAAGAAGCATTCTTTATTAAAGTTCTTTCTAAGTTCTTTTCGCTTTGGAAATTAAAAAGAAACTTCGCCCTATTCTTTAGTGTTATCGGGACATTTTAAATTGTTTCAAGTTTTCTATTAGATGATGTTAAGGTGAACTGAATTTATTCTTTTATTTCAGTTCAAAAGGGGTTATTGCTAATAGAATAATAAATAATTTATTTTTACTATATTGTGTAGTTTTTTTCACAAATAGAATAATTTTTATATATAGTCGGGTGATAAAGGGGGTTAATTTGGGACAGAAGTAGTTAATTTGAGTAAAAAACTATAAAATATAATTTATTTAACCATAAAAGTATTAGAAGGGTTTTTTCAATTAACTACTTTGAAAATAATAAAAGAAAACCATAACTATCTATTTTTGATATTATTCAATCTTTGAAAACAATGGAAGAAGAAGAGAAAGGAACCCTTGATGAAATAACCACAGGCAATCAACATAAAAAAGCAATTTAAATACTAGAAACCAGTTTAAAAACTGTATTTCAATATATATTCATGATGTATATGGTTAAAATGCCAGAGTTTAATGAATTAACAACAGTGTCAATTTTTGAAAGTGTCAGGGAATCACTGAAAAATCATCATTTGTTATTTCAATCTTTCAATCTTTCGTTGTTGAACCATTTCCATTGAGAAAAGATAAGAGAAAGACCATTTTAACATAAAAACAATTGGAGTTGAAAAAGAGCAGAAAAGAAATGAAACAAAGGAAAAAACAAAGGAAAAATTCTTTAACAAAACAAGTTTCAGACAAACCATAAAAAGTGCTGCGTTTTAGACTTCCACATTTTTTAAGTGAACAAATTGAGGTGTTTTTGTTTATTTTTGAAATAGAAATTTATAATTATTCAATTTATAATCATTTAAAATAAAAAACGATAATTTATATTATTATTTTAATTTTATGTTTATTTTGACCTTTAAATAGATTTTTTAAAAATTATAGTTTCAAAATTATATTTATCAAAATTAACTACCTTTGTCCCTTTTTAATGCCATTTATCCCCCGACTATATAAATATATTTGAATTTTAGTTATAACAATAATAAATTATTAAATTATTAAATAGGTGAGGAATTGTTTTTGAAAATACAAAAATAGAATAAATTAGTAATCAATTCAACTAATAAATCATTACTTAATACTTATAATAAAATGAAATAATAAGAAGGTAAACTATAAAAGCACTGAATGGAGGCAGACACAAAAAACACTTCAAAACAACGAATTAGATATAAAGACTGGCTTTGTACATTTCCAGGATGTACGGAACCACCAAAAACCAAATACAATGTTTGTTGTTTTATATTTTGTGTATAAGAATGGTCAGAGTAACGATAAGATGATATCACATATATGGGATAGTCACTTGAAATTCATATATCCGGAGTACCACAAAAGCGCTTTCAAAAATTTAGAAAACAAAGAAATCCCTCGCGAACTTTGCGAACAGTATTTGCTGTTCTCACAAGACGAAATTAATATGAGAAAACGCAAATTGCCTGTTTCGATACAACAAATAGTCAATACACAACTCGACAAGAAACAAAGAGAATTCAACTACTTGGTGGAGGAACAGGAAATGCAATTCCATTTATCGTCGGAAACACAACAAGCCCACTCCCCACCATCAGAGACGTTCGCATGCGATCCGTCGAGTTTGGACCTCCCTCCACTCACACAAAGCACATCCCCTCCAACTATAAAATACTTACCGAACGATGACTTCATCACAGTCGAACAGATTTCGCCGACTTTAAAACAACTTCATGTGTTAGGTAGTGTCTTTGCAGAAAACGGATTTTTCCAATTGAGTGACGCTCGCACAAAGACTAAAATTGCGCCGATCGGAAATGCGTTACACAGGTTACTTAATGTTATTGGTAAGATATACACGTATGACAATGCAACAACGGAATCCTATGGATTCATCGCACAAGAACTGAAAGAAGTGTTTCCGGAGTTGGTCAAAACCGACGAAAATGGTCTGTTGAGTATAGATCCTGTATCATTGATTCCATTTGTAGTTGAGTCTGTAAAAGAGTTGGACAAAGAAGTTCGTGGAATGAATGTCGACTACGACCAAAGTGTGCAAATAATGGAAGAGTGTAAAAATGTGTTAAAAGAGTCCAATTCGTTCAGAGAAGAGTATGATATCTCCCTTGGACCAAAGTGTTTTACTCTCCCAAGTGCAATTATAGTGACGATCTTGAGTGTTGTGATGTCCGTGATGTACATCACATTACCTTTTCTATGGATATATATGATGATACTGAGTGGGGGGTTATGGTATTCGGCGATGAGAAAAGGTAACAAAAAAGCGTCTGTTAAAATGGGATTTTCCATCTTAATAACACTTGGGATAGTGTGTGGAGCATTTTCTTTTTTGGTAGGAAGTTCGATTAGGGTTGTGGGCATTTACTTGGTGTTGGTGCTTGGGATGTGGCTGTGGGGACAGTTTTTCTGTCAATGGAAAAACGTGTTTTACTTGTTTTTAGGAATTTCAGTCGTTGGGGTGTGTGTCATTGGCGCGTTGTCTGCATTTCAACCCGGGTTTGAATGTAATGCACAGGTCTTTGGTGATATGGTTGTTGTCAACAAAACGCCATGGAATTGCTTAGACCCTGAAATTGGGTTCGTTTTTGAAGACGAACAAGTTGTTTGGGTTGGGATGAAAGGTGAAACCTTACTCAAACCGATTAACAAACAAAATAAGACGGTTGGCGTGAGACTAAAATGCTCAGAATTTGTTGGATTCGACTGTGGAAATGTGTTTTATTGATATTAACAATGTGTTTTTGAAGTATTTGTGTGTTACTCTTCAACAACTTTATTGTTGTTGAAGAAAGTGTGGTTACGGCTTGATATTTAATTGATCTTTTTTTTGTTTCACAAAGCGTCTAATCCAAGTCTGTCTTGTTGTTTATTCTATTAATTATAGTCTTTTTTCGATTTTAACAAATACCATTTTACAATATGTGGAATTTCTAGTTCAAATATAGACGAAAATAGAACTAGGAATTTAAATGATCCACTTGAAAGAAGCCAGAGGGGATGAAAGAATTGTAGACACCCTTTTTGATAAAGTCCAAGACGTAGGGAGGGTTCTACGCAAAAATGAACGTATGACATTTGACTTTTCAAACAGTGGTGTTTTGTTCCAAACAGAGTCTGAGAGTGAAATACTTATTTTCTTTGAGGGTTTTGTTGTGTTAAATGTTTTTGTTGATGGAATGAAAGAACAACACAAAATAAAAAACGGTCTTTGGGTCGGTTCTTATCAAATCATGACAATTCCGGGTCATAAGCGTGTTGAAATTCGAAAAGGGAGTGAGGCGCGTTCAAACAAAGTATCTATAATTGGATTAGTTCGTGGAAAAATTGAAAAAGGTCCACAACCCAATTATAAATGCAGTGCAGAATTCATAGGCGATTCTTTGACGTGTGGATATGGCAATTTGGGTGCGAGTGAGTTTGAGACTGATTGTGATTTGACATGGGCAACTATTGTAGCAAAGGCACTTGAAAGTAATTATCAAATATGTGCATGGAGTGGGATGGGAGTCTATGTGAATGATGTTGGAAACACGATCGACCAAATAGGGACACGTAGAAAATATTATGTTGGGAGTGAAATGAAAGATGTCTATGATAGAAGCCAGTTTGGTGCTCAATACGTCTTTATTAATATTGGGACAAACGACTTTGCGTGGAATGCAACGAAGAAAGTTGAAGGAATAGAGACATTGTTTAAAGCATCGATGACTGAACTCATCGAAGATTGTAAAGCTGATTATGGGAAAGAAGTTGTAATCTTTCTAATAGTAGGCCCTCGATTAAGTGGAACAGATTTAGAGACAGTGCTTACTATATTTAAAGAACTTTGTAACAAGTACTCAAAGACCTTTATTGTAGAAGTACAAATGCCGACTGAAAGAGAAGATTTCTGGGGGTTTAGGGAACATCCAAGTCTTGAAGGGCATAAAGAAATGGCAAAACAGATCATTCCCCAGGTTCAAACAATACTTCAGTCAATGAATTGATTGACTTCAGTGTAATTGTTAACACTTAGAAACAAAATTATAACATTAAAAGCACAACATTCGTTTATTCCAAATTGCCATTAAGGACTTGTGTTCTAAGAGAAGAAAGTACTTGTGCATATCTCTTCTTAATTTGTGGTCTTCTAAGTTTGAAAGAAGGAGTGAGTAAGTCATTTGCTTCAGAGAATGGGGTAGTCTCAACAAAGATGTTTTTGACTATTTCATAGCCTGGGACTCCCTTACCTCTAGCATGTGTTTCTAACTCTCTCATTAACGCCAACTTCACCGACTTCTTCGCCGCAAAAGCAGAGTAATCAGCAAATGAAGTTCCTTGATATCCACATGTGTGTGCCATAAACTCCTCGAAGTCCTTTTGCTCCGGGACTACAATGGCTACAATGAAGTCGTCTGTACTCTCCCCATATATGAAAATGTTCTGGACAAGGTTGTTGAGGCAGTACAAATTTTCTAATGGTTCAACAGCGATGTACTCTCCCTGTGCCAATTTGAACAAGTTCTTCTTTCGATCAATAATGCTTATAGACCCATCGTAATTGATTCTTCCAACATCACCCGTGCAGAAATATCCATCATCGGTAAACACCGATTTTGTCATTAACTCGTCTTGGAAATACTCTTTGAAGATTTGAGCGGCTTTGATCTGAATTTCACCGGTTGGCTCTGCATTAGTAACGTCATACTCCATTTCTGGTATACTCACCAATCTCATATGACAGTCAATACATGGCGATCCTACAGAGGTGTGATTATCATCATGGAGACCAGGGGCTGCTGTACAAAATCCACCAAAAGATTCTGTCAACCCGTAGCCTTGGAAGATCTTAGCCCCGGTGCATGTTCTAAGCCACTGGAATAAGTCTTGTGTTAATGGCGCACTTCCATTTAACACAACGTCCAATTTTCCACCTAACATGTCCTTGATTTTGTCGAAGATGATTGCGTCCCAATTGACCAATGTTGTGGTGTTATTTTTGACGGCATTACTTTTGTAGTAATACGCGACTTTATAAATTGTCGATGAGATGCATGACTCGTTCACCTTTTCAATGAATTTGTCGTAGATCTTCTGAAGTACTCTTGGCACGGTAATCAAAAACGTTGGGTGGAGGTATTTGAAGTCGTCCACCATCATTGGAATTCCACCAGAATTGAAACCTGTTGACCCATATCCATAAGTGAATGAAAGAACTATTTGTTGGTCATACACGTGAGCCTATCAGTTACTCAGAAATTCTATAATTGAAGAGATAACAACAAACAGAAGGGAGGTACGAGTAATTCACTCTTCCTTTCAAAATGACATCGGGGTCAAAGTATCCACACGAACAGAAAGACCAGACAGCATTGTTAATAGTCCTGTGTGTATGTACTACACCTTTTGGATTACCACTTGTGCCCGATGTGAATATAACAGAATAAGTGTCGTCGATATTTGGTAAGTCTTTTTCAACGGGGTTCTTTCTCCCGAATTCAAGAATCTGTGAATAAGTGAAGATCTCCATTCTTTCTTCTATGACGTCTTTAGGAATGGCAGTGTCAAAAGATACAAGTCGAAGCTGTGGGTTTCTTTGGACCAATTCGACACCTTTATTAACGGGGCTACAAAACAGGAATTTGACTTGAAGTTTCTTGATGATGAAGTCGAGCGCATCAAGACCAAAAGTGCCGTATAATGGTATTGGAATGATGCCTTGTCTCTCCATAGCAAATTGTAATATATACCACTCGTATCTATTTCTTGTCATCAACCCACACGTGTCCCCCTTTTTTAGTTGAAGTAAATTGACCAACCCGCCTGCTACTGCGTCGACTAATTCCATCACGTTGATTCCATTGAGCCACTCATAGTCTTGATATTTCCCATCTTTCTTCTCTCTGTAGCCAAACACTGGTTCTTCGGGAAACCTCTTTACTCTAGCTTCTAAGAGCTCATATGGCGTTTTTGTATCCGCGTCGTGTTGAGTAAAGTAACAGTTTGTGTTCCATTTCTCTTTCTTACACTCGAAGTTGAGTTTGTCACCTTCAACAGTGATGTGGTTCATAGAGTATTGTGGTTCTTTATCCATCACAACGTGAATGTCGATTGAAGTTCCACGTTTTTTCTCTTCTCAGAATCTATTATGACGTGGACTATTAGATCCAGTCACAGTACGTTATCTATACAAGAAATATCGGGATTTAGGATATCCTATTTCCTACTTTTGAACAGCATTTTTCGTGTTTTTAATCATCTCCTCCTGAGCGATTTCCTCTACGATTTGGGCGTTTTCTGATTGGCCATTTTCATGATCTTGATCATGTACTATATCAAATACAATATTGTATCATCAAATATAGTATATTTTAAGAGTAAAAACCAAAGGAAATAATACTCAACAACAAATGCCTTTGTTATTAATTTGATATTAAAAATACCATAAATATTTGTTTGAAAGAACCTTTCTTTTGCTCGAACGAGATCTATATTTGTCAAAACAAAAGATAAAAATATATATAGAATTTTAAAAAGTTCATGAAACAATTGGACAAAAACACGACTTACATCTTATTTTATTATGCCATTGTACTAAGTAAAATAAGACTGAATTTAACAATAGTTAGATTTTTTTTGTAAATGTCAAATCAAGCTAAATACATTATAGTAATCACTAATAATTAATAATAAGTTTAAAATAACGAATTGTTTCGAAGCATTTTTTGTATTAGTGTTATAAACACGCATATAAAACTACTGTAAGTGGTCAAACATTGTTTCTACTGCTTCGATTATATTATGAATTGTGATGATTTCCAATTCCATTTTTCATTATGATCAAACTAAAAAAAATACTTTTTATTTATAAACTATATAGATTAATTAAATTATTAAAATCAAATAAATAAAAAAATAAAGCCAATTAGTAATGTCCATGGATGCTCAAACAGTTTTCGGTGTTAAACACAAAAGTGTTGTTAAGACATCCAAATTGGTGTGCAGCGTATTTGATTACTTCCTGGCCCACAAATGACCCAACAACAGAGTTCGCAGAGTGGATTTGAACACCTCCAAACCTAGCCAACTGCTCGACACATGTTTTGTCCACTTCCACTTTAGCTTCCTTCCTCTCCAACACCTTTTTGGTGAGTCCCAACAACTCAGCAACATCACCATTACCTACTGGGAACTTTCCATGCTTCTCATTGAAATCTTGAACTGCATACATCACAGCCAAGTACATCAAAATCGATTGTGGCTGTGTGAGTTCATACTCGTCAACGGTGTCCCACTTCTGGTTAGTCTCTCCATTGACTCCATCAACAACGTACATTTTTCTCAATGCCTTGCAGAGTCTTTTGACACCTTCTAATGTAAATTTAAATTTCTCGACTTTTTCGGCGTTCAGCCTCTCTTCAGCGGTTTTCAAAATTTCGTTTGCGTCGATGTCAAGTTGTTTTGTGAAGACTTCTTGTAGCTTCACAAAGAACGTGTTGCTCGATATCATATCTTTAATTCCAGAATCTATTGGAGTTCTGTTGTGCTTCTCGTAAAACACTTTAACGGCTCCCAAGAAACCCCAGAATTCAATTTGTTCCTTAGTCATTTCAGTCAACCTTCCAGTGCATCTCTTGTCTTTCAAAAGTTCGAGTACACTGACTGGTGTTGTTTGGAACGTATAGAATGACATATTATATGCCTCTTGGAAATTCTCCTCTGCAAATAAGCAGTGAGACTCTTTCTTGATAATTTCTTTAATCTGTTTTTTATCGTCACTGGTCTTTGGGATACCCGTTGTGTTGTGTTCTTGTCTCCATTTGTTCAATGCGAAGATCAAAATGATGGGGAATGGCACATGTTGATGGGTGTCTTTGTCCATTTTTGTGAAGTCGAAGGTGTTATAGAAGTCTTGGAAGAGTGGGAAAGGTGATGGGATTCTTAAATCCATTGGGACATTAACATTGCCATCGTCAAACACAACTTGTGACTCAACATACACTTTGACTAATCCCAAGAACCCATTGGTCTCCACTTCAAACACTGGGCTTTTTGTTCTCTTTGACATCTCAACAACATATTTGTGGGGTTGATTGCAACACACGAAGATATCATAGTCGTTGTATATCTCACTCTTCTCAACAACTTTGTCAATAGACATGTCAATGAACTCACCTTTGACTCGATCATTCAACTCTAACAAATTATTCAGAACACATTGACCTCGCTTTTGTCCTACTTGATCAATGTCGATGAAAAAGTTTGTCTCAAGGTCAACAGCATCAACAACTTTGTCGTCAGCAACACCGATAAATCCAATGCCTGGAAGAACAATAGCTTTCAGAAATTCAACACTGACACAATCACTGCCAATCGAGAGAACACGTGATGACTCAAGACGGGACTGTGCAACTTCACCCCAAAGTCGGAGCTGTCTGTCGTATTTTTGAGCATCTGTTTGTGGTTGTGCCATTTTTTTGTTTGAAATTTTTTAGTTGGAGTTCATTTTATACTTTTGAAGATTGAGGTTTATGATCTTGAGGAATGTCTATTTGATCCAATTTCCCGACAAAAACTATTAATTTATTGTAAAGTTGTTATAAAAAAATTCTTAGTAAAATTATTTTCAAATCACAGATAATAATTTATAACATTTTAATAACATTTTAATAACATTTGTATAAATAAAAAAATTGGTTAAATGAAAAAAATTATTAACATAATAGTATATCAATTAATGTTTTAGTAGTTGCATTAATCTATTTTATTATAGTTTCTTTTTTAATATGAACAAAGTTAGAAAAAAGCCAACAACTCGATTTCATCTAAAAAACAAATAAGTCACCAATGGAAAATAAGGGAGTCTACGAACTGTACGCAAAACAACAAGACGTGTTGACTGACGCGATGAAACAAAGACAACCCTTTTCGATTGCTTCTGAAACGGACGACGATGATTTTTGGAAGGTCGTCATTTTTGATCAATTCAATTGCGATTTACTCTCATTGCAACTCCGAGTTGGGGAAGTTAGGAAATATGGCGTAACTTTGATGCTGTTTGTCACTTTATTGGTAATTTCTATCATTTAATTAGATATATCATATAGAATTATTTTTATTATAATTATACCATTGATTATAGTTTGAAGACATGCCACTTAAAACAAGACACATCGACAATCCACGACAACCACTTGAGGATGTCCCAGCTATATATTTTGTCGAACCAACGAAGCGAAATGTTGACAGTATACTCTCTGACACAAAGAGTGGGAAGTATGCAAAATTCACAATTTGTTTTTCGTCGGTCATTTCCGATGAATTGCTCGACTACTTTGCAACAAATAGCGCCGCACAACATACTGATACTTTAATTAAAAATATTCGAGATATGTATATTCATTATCACGTCTTGGAACCACACCTGTTTACTCTATCGATGGAGAACTCATACTGTGCGTTCAATAACCAAAAGGTTGACGAGAAAACGGGATTAGAGAATATATCAACGGTCGTGAATTCATTAATGAGTGTGTGTGTCACGTTGCGAGAGGTTCCAATCATTCGTGCACGTGGAGGAAGTTTGGAGGATGTCATTGCACGACAACTGACACAACGCCTTCACAAATTTAGTGCTGCAAATCCAACGTTTTTCAGAAGAGGAGTTTCGACAAGGCCAATTTTACTCATCACAAACAGAAACCACGACATTTCAGCAGGACTTTTGCATGGATGGAACTACCAAGCACTCATAAAAGAGGTTACTGAGTACCAATTAAATCGTGTACTGTTAGATGGGAAGTGGGAGGATATTGAAACAGAGGGCGAGTTTTGGAAAGGGTGCAAAGCTTCGATCATTCCCGACGTCACGGACGCAATTCAAAAAAAGACAAAAGAGTTGGTGACTGAAAAGGAGAAGTTCCAGATTGTAGCTAACAGCTTTGGACTCAGTTTTGATGAGCAAGCGGATATTAACACGGTGAGCGAAGAAGACAAGAAAAAGCTTCAAGGCCAAGGAATGGCAAAATATGGAGAACAGATGACACAAATTCGTGCATTGAAAAAGGAAATTGATTTACACACTGCAATTGCAAGACTTGTCGTCGAACAAATCAAACAGAGAGAAATCGATTTACTCTTTTCATATGAAGATAATGTTATGTCGGGTATCCAAGTCGAACAAGAAGCACTCCTCAATTTTGCTGCGAGAATTACTAACACCACAGACTTGGCTCGACTTTTTTATATTTACTTACTGAATACTCAAGACGTCAGCGCACTGAAAAAAGTCGTTGAAGCAGGAAAAGTTGATTTGAAGGCGTTAGACTATATGAAAAAGTTTGTTTGAATAATAATAATAATAATAATAATAATAATAATAATAATAAATAGATTGAAACAAACACAAGAATACCTTCATTTGACAAAAGACAAAAAGAAGGAAGTTGGGTTTGCGTCGATGATCAGCATGGTCGGCAAAGTTGTTCAAAGACTTATTCCCATGGATAAGAATATGGCAGTGACTGTGTTGGTAGACACACTGACTGAGTGTAAACAGAATGAACTTGAGAACGAGTACAATTATTACGACCCAAGAAGTTCAACGGAGAATGTAGTCGATGGACGCCGTACAATCCAATTTAAAGACTCTATTGTGTTTGTCGTTGGTGGAGGGAATTACACTGAGTTTTCGAACATTCAACAGTATGCCGAGAGAAATGGGAAACATGTGTTATATGGAGCCACTGAAATGTTTGGTGGAAAAGAGTTATTAGAGCAAATAGAGATGATTATTTGATTTATTTTTTATATTTAAAATTCGATTGTAAAGACAAAAATAGAACACAAACAAAGTCTTTTACACGTCAAAAGTCTTCACAAAGGTGATGTCAGTCTTTCCACAAATCGGGCATTTTTTCATGTGTTTTGCACATTCGGAACAACAACAACGATGGCCACAAGGGACAACAACACAATCTTTTGAATTGAGAAAGCAGACTTTACACAAGTCCTTTTCTTCAAGTGTTTCCACTGCTGTGTTTTCTTCCTTTGGAACTTTTTCTTGTGTTTCCACCTTTTCAATTTTAATTTGTTCTTGTTGAGAAACATGGTGCTCACAGAGAGGAGTACTTTTTGTCATCTGTGTAATGGGACTTTGCTGTGACTTTTGTTTTTCATGCTGTTCGATGTACTCGGGGATAGTCTTTAATTCAAACAAATTGTTTTTCTCCGACTTTCCAGAGAACCACCCTTTCCCTTTGGCATCTACTGTTAAATAAAAGAGATTGGTCGACTTAATACATATCGCGCCAGGGACATTGACAGACCCACGAATCGAAAATTTCTCGGCTACAAAGGGTGCCAAGCCTCCTCCTTCTAAGTTTTGTGTTAGTACATTACACCGAAGAAATTTGCCATTCCAACATTGAAGACTCACCCCAAGTAGTATCTTTTTGACCGTAAAAATCTCGTATTTCCCAACTTCACTTCGACTAAACTCAACTTGGTCGTTTTGGAGAACGGTGAGGTACTTCCCTTTATACACACTAATGCACACTTTTTGCCCATTCTCAAGTAAATCACGGTGGTGGGTATCACTCATTGATATCAGCGCTCTTTTTATAATTATCGAGTTGTGTTGTTTATATATATCAAAATATTTTAGTCAATTGAAATGTCACATTAGACTCAAATTCTTTAAAGTATAATCATCACTTTAAAACAACTATATAAAATAGTAATTAATAATTTATTAATAATAATAATCTTTTTTTGTTAACTATAACATTCTGAAAACATTTGTAAAATTCAACTATTCGAAAACTTAATAACAAGTTAATGTCAAATTTTACTCTCATCTCAACATGGCTTTCTGGCATCGTTCTGTGTGGTATCAACTTGGTCATTGACCTTTTCCACGCTCTTTGTATTGTTGATCTTCAGTCCGACGAGTTGAGTCCCGTTGATTTTTGTTCTCGTGTTAATCCGTTTGTTCTTCCATTATTTGATGCCCTCCAGGAAACCCTTCTTGTCTTCTCTAGAAACGAAACACTGACTTATAGCGTCCTTTTTCCCGAGTTTTTAATCCACATTGTCTTGACATTTTTATTCATTCCGCATATGAATTGGCTAGAGTTATTTATTACCGTGCCTGTGTTAGTGTATGACGTGATATCGTTTCTTAAACACGACCACTTCTACCAACCAATCACGGTATTCAACAATATCAGAATGAAGGAGAAAATCAGTTATTCCAAACTTGCATACTATTTGGCGTTTATCTTCATCCTTCTTGCTCGGCTTTTATACTTTGTGATTGTGACGTACTCCACCTCCAAAGTCTCCAAACGCCATTGAGTACTCTATTCACTAGTTTTAGTTCTTTTTTATTCTTTTTACTATGCAAAATGTGACAAAGTGTCACAGAAAATCGGAATTTCATGTGATACAAACAATAAAAAACATATTTTACGTTTTTCTGTTATTCGTTGATTTCGATGAACGGCGTCGATTCCGCGACGTCTGTCGACGAATTTTCCTCCGCGTCAGTGGCCTTGAACAAGTTCTCAAACGGGTTATAAGTTTTGCTCTTTGGGACGTTCCAGAATAACACAAGGAGTGTTGAGAGGGGGATGATCTCCCAAAACGTCATCAACAGAAATTCGATGATGTCTGCAAAGATGACCACCGACTCGGGGTTGTTGTAACAGATTGAAGCAATGTTCTTCCCAGTCGTGTCGTCGCACAAGAGTGCTAAAAGAGATTTCCCTGCAACCGCTGACCCAAAGTCATAGATGAACCGCGTTGAAACACATATCGAAATGATAATACCCGCTATCCCCATCGATTTTGGACTGGGATGGCTTTGTTCTAACTTGTGTGGACTGACGGAAAACACTCGAATGGAGACATAACATAACCCAACTAATACACAAAAATAGGAGACAGTAGCAAATGCCATTGTTAACACCGTCAAGTACTCGTCATTTTTAAACATCAGTGTAATGTCAATGGCTGAAAGAGTCACTATGTGGAATATATTGAGAATCACCAAAACTACAATCACTATTTTCTTCATTCTCCCCCAGTTGTCCTCGTGAATTAAAAACGCAAAATAATAGACCAATGATGACAAAATAATGACCATCACAAAACTCGAGATGCTAGACATCAATTGATAATCTAATATATAGTACTTATATAATATATATGATAAGAAAAAACAAACTCCGAAATAAGCCACTCCGGCGTGGGGCTTGTCGAGTCTGAAGGAGACGTGTTGAGAATAGTATACAATAAAAAGAAAAACGAGAACAATATGTCGAAGATCCGAAAGCAGCACCAACAAAACGCGGAAAGGATGAGAAGGTTTTGGAACCCACAAAAACGGTGACTGGAAGTCAGTTGTTTCATTTGCATTATTGCCCACAACATACAGTTTTATATGAAACAAACTGATTACAAAGAATGCGAACTGTTTGTACAATACAAAGGATAGCCACTATTATATACTCTGCCGCCATAAACAGTTTTTGGTATGGAATTTGGTACTTCTCATATGTACTTTCATTTTCGCTCATCCGTAAAAAACAATTCCAGATGACGCTTAACTCAAATTGTAACGCAACCCTACATGACACACTCATTTTTAGTTCACTTTTTCAAAAATTTGCGAATCTTCCCGATTGTGTGGTTTTGACTGGCAGGCAATTGTTTTCAATTTGTTCTCCACTTTTTGGAAAACACTTAAGAGAAAAAGATAAAATCATTTTCCCTTTTTAGTCTTTGAAAAATCCCTCTTCTAACACAATCAATTCTATTTGTATTTTCTTTGGTGTTTGAAAAGATTTGTTTGACGTTCAGACTTTGACGCAAAACTGTAACTCACATAATTAAATTTAATTAAATTAAAAAAATCACTTAAAAACAGGAAGAGGCTTCATACCATTTGCAAACATACGATTCGAGTGGGCTGAAATGTCCCGGGGTGCTGTCGTCCACACAAAGCATTCTTCAGCCCACCATAATCAAACATATATTGGAAACAATAACTTTCACCATTCCCATTCTTCTTGATCCCAATGTCGAACCCATCAACTCCAAACGCAAAGAGCTCATCACTGTTTTGATCAAAACATAAAAAGGCTTTCATTGCTTTGTCGGAGCGAATGGCAAACCGCATCTGCTTGGGGAGTCTTCCAAGTGACTCCAACGAGAACAAAAAGGACTTCGAATCTACTATACTCTTATTGAAACCATCTATCTCCGATTTCACATACCCACCAAACACATTGTTGTCACTGTCTTTCACAACTATCACTACATCTTTCTTCCCAACAACTCGCTGACAGAAGACACTACTCCGCTTCCCCCAGTCATCAACAGCACTATCAAAGATGATCCCTCCTATCTTTTTCTCAGTCCAACTTTCAAGCTGTTTCATGTCGTATGCCGTCACAAAGTCTTCAAGCCGATTTTCAACCTCACTGTCCCCAACTACTAAAAATTTCATTCGTGCTTGGAGAGCACGACGACGCGCGTCAAATGCTTCTGTTCGTTGTGTGATAGCTTGTTGTAGCGGTTTAATGTCGCGATCCAACTTCTCCGACTCTTTGTCGATAAGCATCTTAATCAGTTCGTTTGTGCCTTCGACCGTCGAAATCTCTGTGTTTGAACACGAGTCGATCATATGAGTTATACTCTCTTGAGTAGTTGTCAATAAAGTTAGTGCAAGCTTGTTCTGTTCGATCACTTTATTTCGACGAGTGACTATCTCGTCAACACTTGAAAGAATGCTTTCAATGTGAGAAATGCTTTCCTCTAGTGTTTTCCCTTCCGTGTCTGTGATATTTTTTGTTGTCAAAAATGAGATGTACGACTCAGTTTCTTTTTCTGAGTCGACCAAAGCTGATATTAATGTCTTAATAGTTTCGTTTAATAACTTGAACGGTGTCACATCTCTGATGCTTTTCATTCAAACTTCAACTCTGATTTTTTTTCGGTTGAGATTGGAAGGAATTGTTGAGAAGTAATGTTTCTATCCTTATACTTCTTTATAGTTTAGAATAAGCTATTTGTATAGTTAATTGAAATCTTATGTATCTATTTAATATCAACTATTAATTATAATGTTGGAATAATAAATATTTAATATAAATAATAAATAAAAAGTATAATTCAATCAACTTGTATTGTTAATAACATTGAATTATTTTTACCCTTTAAATAAAATTGAACAAACTTTAAGTGTTCTAACATTTGGGAAATCTCGGGTTTATAAAGAATGTTTCCCGATATTTAGATATTTATAAATTGCGTTATTTTACATTGCTTAAATTAGGGAAAATATCATAAAAATAAGTAAATCCCAGAACAACAAGTCAATTAAAAAAATTTGAGGTGTTATTTTAAGTGTTAACCGAGCGAATGGAAAGTATTACTTATGGTCTTCAATACCATTAAAAATAATAAATACCGACCTAAAGTACTATTAGTAACTCGATACAACTCTCTCTAATAATTTAGAAGAATCAACTTGAAAAAACCATATTTTGAAAACAGTTTGCATTTCTAGCCTTTTTTTATATTAAATGATAAGTGACATTCCCAAAAGTGTATTCCCTCTCAAAAATAGCAACAAGAGAAAAAGAAACTGAAAAAACATTACAACCACACACAGCTAATGGACAAGAAGTTACGCAAGCTTTTTAAACAAATGGACGCAGACCACTCGGGTGCAATAGGAGAAAAGGAGTTTATCACCGTGGTATCATCGTTGGTCGAAATCAAAGACGTGGACTCCCTTGCCCTCTTTTTCAAATTGGCAGACTCAAACGACGACAACGAACTGCGATACCCCGAATTTAAACGACTCGCTCGCGCACTCGCTAGTATGCCTGATGGTAGTGAAAGAAGTTTATACGGCGCTTTATTCACGTTGATGGACACTAATGGTGATGGTCAAGTTGAAAGGAAAGACTTCATTAAACTGTGTCAAACGACTGGGTTCTCCCCAGACAAACAGGACTTGGACTCATTCATTCACCTTCTCGACGGAAATAAAGACGGTAAAATCAGCTTAGACGAATTCATGTCGATGCTAGAAGAACAAAAAGCACAAGAAAGAAAAGCCGAAAGCTGTACAACAAAGAAAACTCCTGTGCATTAGATGGACGTTGTCTGTGTGTTAAATTCATTTTTATTCAAGGGTTTCATTTCTTTAATCTGTTATTGAAGTTCTTATTGTGTTTCAAGTATAAATAAGTGAAGTAATAATTCTATAATTAATAACATAAATTTTTAATTAATTTTTATTCAAGATATATTCGATTATACTATATAATAATTAATATATATGTTATAATCTATATTATACATATAGATATAATATAATATTATATTAGGGTG